TGGCTTTAATCACTAGGCCACGAGGAAGCTTAATGATATTTTAGAACTTATTCATAAACAACTCATGGTAATAATCATAAAACATTTTGCAGTTGCTTATGAATCAGTTATGACAAATACTTCCATTTGATAAAAATTGCATTCGGAAACTTCCTAATCAAAAAATTCCTTGAGAAGGTTGGTAATCCGTTCAAACATGCATCTGAAATTTTTTTAGTATAAAATTTTGTAAGAAAAGGATAATAAACCATTTGATTAAATATAATTTTGTAGTAAGTAAATAATTCATTTATTGAAGTAAAACTTCTTTAGGCGCGGCTCGGGTGCAAATCCGTACCAATGCAACGGAAATGCGTTACGGCAGATAAGATAAGCTAAGAGTCGAGTGCCAATGCTTCATCATTTGCTCTCAATGATATCATTTCTATACGGGTCGATTTGTGATTAGTCGTCGCGTATGTGAATAGAGATTTGTCGTTGTATACGTACCGGCATCACAATTGTGTGCGTACCGGCGTCAACGTTGTATGCGTACCAATATCAAGAAGAAAATCGGCAAAGCTGAATAAACATTTTAAAGTTACATCGTAGTACAAATGATGATTTAATGAAAAATGCCTGAATCAGAAGAATATTTTACCCTGTTCCTTAATATTTTACCCTGTTGCTCAGAAATTATTTCCATATTATTCGTAGTTTCTATAAATCTTTGAAGTTATTAAAATGAAAAATATTTTTTAGGCAAGCCAGATATTACGGCTGTTCAAAGAATGAAATTATATCGCGAAAAATTAAAAAAAATACAAGCAGTCAATGAATGTATGTTAATTTTAATTACATGAAGTTCTTCAAACACAATTGCATGATGAGTAAAGTTGCGAAAACAATATTTGTTTAGACGTTGTTTAACATAATCCACTCTATGAACGATTTTTTTTTAAATTTATTAATCAGCAATTACTTCATTCCTCTGATAAAGGTTCATTTCTAAATGCTAATTACAATGACAAACCGATCAACTCATATTTGAAGTATGACTTTAATTATATTATTGTTTTTAAATATTATACATATTTTTAGTGATATTATAAATATATAATTTATAATTTATCATTATATAAATGTGCATAATTGGCACTAATAAATATCTGCATCAGGAGTAACATTACTCAAAATTGTTATATGCTGCATTTATTTTTACTTAAATGCCATCTTGTACAGTAAAAAATAAGTTTTACTTCAATCGCGTGTGAACCTCACGCGCACTATTTTTTTATCACTTATTTATACTAAGGTTTCCGAAATTTACCATAAACTCGTACAATAAACATAATAATTTTACAACTAATATCAACTTTTTAAAACCTATTTTAAATTTTTTTATCTCTTTTGATACTGTACTTATTTGGTCAGACTATGAAATATAAAAAACAATTTTCCAAATCATGTACTTCAATTGAAATCCATCTTTCATTTTTGAATATTATTATTATTTATTCTAATTATTTAAATAAATCAATCACTTTTAACATTAAAATAGTTTATATAAAGTAAAAAAAATAAATTTTAATAATCAATTAAATTTTATTTTCGTCTTTGATATTAAAAAAGCATATTTGCTAGTTCATATTTAATCTCAACATGTGTCATCAAATTTCATCAATTCAAATTTATAAAAAAATGAAAAAAAAATCCAAATCGTATTCATATAAAAAAGTATATTTTTTCAGCTCTGAGAAACTTTTCTCATCTTTTCCTCAGAATTTTAATAATTCTGTTTAATATTTTGCATCTTAAACTTTCATACCTCTATTTATATTAGATACGTTTTTATCTCGTGAAAAAAGCTATAAAACAAAACCAATATTTCATTTATATATTAAAATATGAAAGCAGCACCACATGTGGCCACGGAAAATTGGATACAGTGACATTTATCAATATTCGGTTACACCGGTGCGTAGTAGGGAAAAAATTCTACGCACAAATATGGATAACTTGTCACTTGAAATAATAAGTATGATAAAGTCAACAAGGTTTTAGAAAATAACAAGAAGTAAGTTTAATATTGTTTTGTTCCTATTATTGATTTTGGTCAATGCGTTACATTAACATGATCTGTATAACGCATCGCTTAAAGGGTCCCGTAGGGCAAGTTATAGTAATCGCAAAAAAATCGAAAATGAAAATGTTTATATATCTTTATGTTTCAAAGGTTTTTCAACATTTTGGAATACCTTAGCAAAAATGGATGTATGTGTGTGTGTGTGCCAATACAAATTTTTGTTGACGATTTCGGGTCAACCTATTTGAACAATTCAAAAAACATTTGATTCGTATTCATAAGGAGATACAGGGCAAAAAGTGTCAAAAACGGTAACTCAGTTTTTAAAAGAACGGAGTGTCCGATTTTAATAATTCAAAAAGCATTTTACTTGTATTGACAAGATAAAAAAGTGATTAAATTTTTGGAAAGGCATGTTTAGCGGTTAAGGACTATCAATAAAAATAAGTTAAAAAATGCCTTTTGGCGGTCAAAAATGATCATTAGACATATGCACATCATTATCAGATATTTTATAGAGATTTTCATAATATGTACACATTTCGTGTCAATTTTATTAGGTTCCGTACCAAGAAATTTAATTAACTTCCCGAAGGAGAAGTTTATGTTTTCATCAAAAAATCCGAATTGCTAATTTTATGTTTTCTCGACGTTTCAAGCCATTCTGAATCGAATGAGACCAAATATGGAAAAAGTATGTGTGTGTGTGTAAACAGATTTTTTGCCGTAAATCGACGTTTTCTCAAAAACGGCTGGACCGATTTCAAAAATTTAAAAGTCATTCGAAGTATCTCGAAGAGGACTAGCGTTTCTAACTTTTGCGCGACGATCGGCCGTGCCGTTTTTTTGTAAATCGCAAAAAAGTAAAAAGATTTTCGTCCACGCTTTAGCAATTCTGAATCGATTTTGAAAATTCGAAAACTGTTCGAAACATATTGGTTGGGAATCGACCTGATTAGTTTTTGGTAAAGATCGGCCGAGCCGTTTTCTTGCAATAAGATGTTAAAAAATTTTTTTCGACGATTTTCATGAATTTTTTTTGACGGTAGATACCATAGTCTTATGTATCATACTAAAATATTACGGTCCTACGACCGATTTCAAAAATTTGAAAACCAATCGATATATTTTGATGTGGATTAATTTTTCTTAGTTTTGTGTAGCGATCGGCCGAGCCATTTCTTTGTAATTTGGAAAAAAGTGTTAAATTTCGCGTCCACATTTAAAAGCATATTACCGAATCAATTTTCAAAAATAAAAAACTGTTCGAAAGATATCATTTGGGAATGATACTGATTAGTTTTAGTTGAAAATCAATCGAGCCGTTTTCTTATAATTAACTGTTGAAAAAAAAATTCAAGCCGATTTTTATGGAACTTTTTTTTGTCTGATCTTATAGAACTTACTGGAATATTACGGCCTTACGACAAGTAGTTTAATTCTAAAAATTCATCAAAGTTTGACAAAATGAGTAAGTTTTTTGACGTTGGTTAAAATTAAAATTAGAAGATTTATTTGGTATAACGATAGAGTACTTGATCTTGATGAACGTACTAAAGCATTAAAGTCCTACGGAAACTGGTTCAATTATAAAAATTGTTTATTTTTGAAAATTTGCTTTTAGAAAATATTCCGAGTTAATATGTTCGTTAGTTTTCAAATATGTGTAATCAATACACTCGGAATACTTTTAATCACTCATAAATTATTTTATTTTTTATTGATTAAGTCGATTATTTATACATGTCGCGAAGTTCACGTAACTTGCCTCAAGGCAAAATACCACTACCAACTAGTTTTGAAGTTTATTTATATGGCTCAAAAAAAATGTTCTCGACATTTTCGACAGTATGGAATAACTGATTTGGATCATTTAAAAAACATTCGATTTGTATTGATAAAGAGACGTACTGATTAGTTTTTGGCGGAGACAAATCTAACCGTCTAACAAGTCTAACAAGTCTTCTGAAGATACGGCGCAAAAAGTACCAAAAACAGTAACTCAGTTTTTAAGAGAACGGAGTGTCCGATTTTAATAATTCATAAAACATTTTACTTGTACTGACGAAATGAACAACTGGTAAAATTGCGGGTATGGACTCTCAATAAAAATAAGTTAAAAAAATATCATTTGGCAATCAAAAATGATTATTGGACTTATGCACATCAAATTATCAGATATTTTATAGAGATTTTCATAATGTGTACACATTTTGTGTAATTTTGTTTGGGTTTCGTACCAAGATTTTTAATTACGATACGGGAAGTTCCAGCAATTTGCCTTAAGGCACGATGCCATGCACCCCACTAGTTTGTTTTATTTTTTATAATAATAACTTTGTATACACATAAATGGCTTTGATTGTTATTTTGCTGCAAGATGAATATTATTAGTTATTTACTAGCAATTAGTTTTATGCTTAGATAACTTAGCTCAGTCATAATGATGATTTGTTTTCAAAATTTGTGACAATTTTTGTGGGTATGGTTATGACATGTATTTCTTGTCCTTTCAGATGAAGATTGAGCAGATAAAAAATCTAACATAACGAAGAAAAAAATACGAATGAAAAAGAAAAAGAAAAATTCGAAAAAACGATTTCACAAAGAATTATTGTTAACTTTCTTAAAAAAATGTTTTGTTATATATTGTTATATTTTATTCATAAGCATTGTGTAAATGTTCATGTTGTATTGTTACGCCCTTTTCTTGTATTATTTGATTTTATGACTAATTCATAGCATTTCAGTATTTCTTCGACAAATGTTCAAATTACCATTTAATTTACTTTTCTGTCAGCTAACTGAGAAATTAACAAAATTATGGCTGATAAAAAAAAATTGGAACAACTGTAACCAGTCTCCTCCAGAGTAGTTTTTCACGGAAAAATCTTCCAACTTTCATAATTTATACAAATATTAAAACTAAACTGACCTGTCTTTCTGGATCTTGCTGTTTGTTCAACTTAGCTGCCAAAGCAGCACTTTGGGTCTGAGTGGAAGTGATCAGCCTTTCACAGTAACAGCCTTCAAGCAAAAGAACTCCTGAAGGTTTGCCTGAACCTTCTGTCTCGTAGTAAAATAACAAATTCTGGAAAAAAATGATAATATTTTTGTAATTAGTTTTTTGAAATAATGGTAATTATATCAATGAGAAAGTGAGTTAGTAAACGATATAACAGAGTAAACTAAACTCTATTTCAATTTCAATAATTGTTATGTTAGTGTTTCAATCTAATTAATCTTGGAAATTTTAAATATTTAATAGTGACCTTATGTTCGTAGGCCTAAATTTGCACTTATCTGCAAAAAACGGTCATCAGTCATAAAACTATTTTAAAATTTTCAACAAAACGTAAAAGATTTTTCGAATGGTAGTATAGAGTTAATATCAACTTATAGAAATAACTTGAAGCGCAAGTGGCAGATAAAATATTTATTTTATGTCTTTCAAAACTTTAGAAGAAATATGATTCAGAACCTTATAGTTAAAATTCCATTCTTCATCACAAAACTTTATAACACTATTGCTCGTTATTTGAAACTTATATATAAGCACTAAAATAAAATTTAATTGAAAAAACGCATGTTTTGTTTTTTGAATTTTAACTATTTATATAAATAATAACTTGATGATTTTTTGTTCGACGTTGAAACATATTGAAATGAATAAAACAGCCAATGCGTCGAATGTAAACAATTTAATTTATTTTTTATACGTTTCGAGACTAGATGTGTCTCATCATTCAGCTGAATGATGAGACACATTTAGTCTCGAAACGTATAAAAAATAAATTAAATTGTTTACATTCGACGCATTGGCTGTTTTATTCATTTCAATAAATAATAACATTGATTGTGAAAGATATATAATAATATTATAACAAAATTAAAAATGTAAAAATGTTCACTAAAAATAGACCATAACAATATTGAGCTTACAATAACTTTTAAACGTTTTATAGTTTTCAGAAAAACAGAATTATTGCAAATAAAATATTTATTCTATGTAAAGGATAATCTGCAAGAGATCAATAAAATCTGCAGTATCCGTGGCTTCAAATAATGCTTTTCATTAATAATTCCGAACAGCTTATAAATTAATAAATAAATAAAAACAAAGCGGTACTATTCATTTTGGCTAATTTTTATAGTTTTTAATTAAAAATGCTTTAAAACAATCGCAACGAGTAAATAATATATCGTACATGAGTATTATACACTATGCATACATATGCATAGTGTGAAAATTATCAAAAAACGTAAATATGTTAAGGAAATGCTTTGTGTTTTCAATCACTAACTTGAAAAATAGTTAAAATCTAATGGTAGTTTTTATAAATAATTTATTACAAAAACATAAATAAAATGTTGCATTTTATATTCATTGAATAATTAAACCAACTCTAGAAATTCCACAATAAATGAGGTAGAAATCGCATGTTCAAAAGACATTAATATTATTTCAAGTATATCGCATTAGTAATTAGTCAGAAGCAAATTAACTTCAATTACTATGAATTATCATTAGAATAACATTAAAAAAAATTAAATAAAAAAAAACTAATAAATTGATCGGCAAGTACAGTTATGACATACCCATGCCGTAAAAGATTGTTGACTTGTGCATTAGAAAATTATAATATATTAAAAATAATCAAAAATCGCTGAGAATTAAAACAAGATTATATGTCAAAAAAGCGCAACCATTTTTACAAATTTTAACAAACGTTTAAAATTAAACAATTTATCGCAGGAGCATAATGTTTTAGTATGTTCTTTAAGACCATGAGGTCGACCATGATAAAAAGTTTAATCAAAATTGACGAAAAAAATCAACAAATAATTATAAAGAAGTGCGGAGCTAATCTCTATTATGAGCTAATCAGAATTATTCCCAACTTATTTCGCCTAAATCGGCGAAAAATTAATAAAAAATTGCACTTTTCTGCTAATTCTAAAGCGAGGCCATATCGTGTTACAACACATGACTTTCACAGTTTTCAATCGAGCTTGAGCCGTTTTTGAGAAAAGTAAAATTTTGGGTCATATACACACATATACTTATTCAATTTTGGGCTCAAACGATTCAGAATGACTTGAATCGTGGTGAAAACTTAAAAATTGTTTTTGACTTTTCGAATTTTCTGGCGAATATGTAAACTTCTCTTTCGGTAAGTTAAAAAAATATCAGCCAATGTATTATATAAAAATAAAGCAAGTACAAACACTCGTGTAATGACATTGGATTATAAGTCACCGATTTTCTATATAATCAACATATAGGAAAAGAAATATTTTTGGATTGTTCTATTGATCCTTGTTATGATGGTCTGAAAGAAGAAAAATAATGTATATGTGTTTGAACAATAGTTTCCATTATTGCATTGAGTAAGCGCACTACATTAACTTTATCTGTTGACAATATCGCTTTTTGAGGAACAAAAGTACGTTTTTTAATTCAATTTATTCTAATAATAACTGTTACGAGTATATCAATTACGGTTATATATCACTTTCTTATTTTGGTGTAAGTTGAACATTAGTAGTTAGTTATCAGCAATTAGTTTTGTTTTATCTGACATGTATATGTTGTGACTTATCGGTTGTAATCTTTTCGGGTGAAGATTAAACAGAAAAAAAAATATATTTTATACAAGCAAACAAAAAATTTCACGTAGATTTTTTCTTATAACTTTGTTAAAAAAATTGTTTTGTTATATATTGTTATATTATATTAATAAACTTAGTTTTAATAATTTTGTTGTATTGTATTACATATTTCTGACAATAAAAGTCGTTATGAACTATTTGTTGTTTATAGCTATTGTTTTTGTAACCTATATTTAAGCCTGTCACAACCGTCCTGGGGGTGTAGACGGTTGCGTTTTCTTGTATGATTTGATTTTATGACTAATCTATTGTATTTAACACTATTTCAGTATTACCACATAGAAAAATGTTCAAATTACCATTTGATTTACTTTTTCCCACCTAACTGGTACATTAACAAAATAATTGCTTATTACTAACAATAATTTAGTAATTTTGATATTGGTGATTTAGTGATTATGATTTGTTAATACCGAAATATAAAGTGATCAATTATAAAATCAAATATTTACCTGGTACAGGACGAACCATCTCAATTGCCACTTGCCGCTGTCTGCAGTTCTCTTATGCAAATACCCCGACTGAAAAAATATGAATATTAACATATTAAATTTTAATAATTAATAGTGCAATTAATTTTCCTGTATTAGTTTCACTGCTAGAAGTTTTGCGTTAGTTATCAAAACAATGTTAACTACTAAAACTGCTCTCTATTTGATATCAAACCTAACCTAACTCTTCGCCAGAAGCCTGTTTATCATAATGCTGTTATTACATGATTTTTCTTATATAGTGCTTTTGAATTTAATTTAATTTGCAGTAAACTACAGGGATCTAGGAATGCTCTATATTATTATTATCTTTTTAAAAAACAATTTTATTTACCTGTGAGTGGTCATAGTGTGCCCTATCCGACAGCATGACCAGCTGACTGTCGTTGACGCGCACAGTGCGCTGCATTTTTGGACTCAACATTTTGTTTGAAATTGGTAGATTTTATCGGAGATCGATTAACGATCGGTTATCGATCGGTGAATCGATTCATCGATGATGTGGATCATTCGCGCGATATGGACGACGAAGTCATTTTCGTCGCCTCACCAGCAAGCTGGAAGAAAAATGTATAATAAATCTATAGAACATCCGACATAGGAAATGTATACATTTTTTAAAAAAAGTTTTTTTGTATACAACATTGTGAATAAGCTAGAGAAGACAAGGAAATGATAAGCCCAAAAAAACTAGTGGTGTATGGCATCGTACCTTAAGGCAAATTTCTGAAACTTCCCGTACCGTAACGAAATATTTGAAGAATATTAAATGTATTAAATAGATTATTATTAATACTGTAACTTTTGTTATTCTAATTTCATAGACAAAATATTAGAACTTATGAATTAGAAGAGGACGTTTATATATGTGTTAAAGAAAAGTAAATAAACAATACTTAATCAATAGAATTCAAGAACTTTAGCCAGAATTAAAATTTAAATCCAAATTATTTTCGATATAAAAAAATTAGTAATATTTTTTTTAATTTTGAAATAAAAAAAACTTCCACAAGCAATTGTTTCATCAATACAAACAGAAAATTTTTTGAATCATTCAAATCGGATACATAGTTTTCTCAAAAACTGCATTTTTTTGCCTTTGCCAAAATTTAATCACCGATTCTCCCTATCATTACTAATTGAATGGTTTTTGGATCATTCAAATTGGATGCCCCCAAAAAAATTATCAGTTCTTCATTTTGATATTTTTTTTTAAATCATTCGAATCGGATGCTTCGTTATCTCAAAAACTAAATTACCATTTTCGGCACATTTTGCCCTTTATTATCTTCGAAACGGCTGAACCTGCTTTTGCAAATAACGGCTATAGGCACTTGAATTTCTCAAAAATGATCATTAGTCATAGGCACATGCACTTATCAGATATTGTATAGAAATTTTAATGATAAAAACAAATTTTATTTTTATGTGTATCCGTTATACTGCGAAGCGGCGCTTTCACGCTTCGATATTTCATCTCTACGCAGCAAACGCAACGCGACTGCTTTAAATAAGATCAAAATTTTCAAGATATTTCAAATTACAAAAAAAAATCAAATTTATCAAAAATCTAGAAATTTTCAAAAAGCTAATTTTATTTTAGTTTTAAAAAAATCAAAAATATTAATAAAATTCAATATTAATTTTCGGTGTAGGAAGTTCTAACAAATTGCCTTAAGGCACGATACCATTGCACCACTATAGTTAACTTCCCGTAGGGTAAGTTATTGTAATCGTCCAAAAATCGAAATTGAAAATTTTTACATTTCTTCACGTTTTGAAGGTATCTGAACATTTTGGCATACCTCAGAAAAAATGGATGTGTGTGTATGTAATTTTTCGTGCACGTTTTCGGGCGCACGGATCAACCGATTTGAATGGTTCAAAAAACATTCGATTCCTATTAATAGAGAGATGTGCTGATTAGGTTTTGGCAAAGTCAGGTCCAGCCGTTTCCGAGATACGAAGCAAAGAGTGCAGAAAACAGAAATCGGGTTTTTGAAAGAACGGAGCATCCGATTTGAATGATCCAAAAAACATTATTTGACAGGGAGAAGTGGTGATTTCGGAGATACAGAGCTAAATGTGCAAAAAATGGCTGTTTTTATGATTCAAAAATCTTTCTGCTTGTTTTAACAAAATAATTGCTTTAGGGAAAAAAATTGTTTGAATTTTTTTTTCAATTTTTTTTCTTTTTTTTTTTTGTATATCGAAAATAGTTCAGATTTTAATTGTAATTCTGACTCAAGTTCTAATAAACTTTAAACAAATATTTTCAACTTTGCAATTCAGCTTATATCATTCTTATAGATATTATACAATGTTTCGGTATTTATAATAATATATTTGAAAACATTTAATATTCTTCGAACATTCCGTTACGGTACGGGAAGTTCCAGCAATTTGACTTAAGTCACGATGCCATACACACCACTAGTTTTTTATATATTTGTTCCTAATTATTTTATCTATAATATTATTCAATAATAATTGTGCTACCATGACATTTTCATCTGATTGGTATATAACCAATTAGCCATATGCAATAGACACAGTATAAGAATTTTCAAATACTATGCAAATTGACGAAAATCGTTTTACCGTTTTAAAGCGCGTTATATTTTATCCCAAATGCAAAAGTAGGCCATAATCGTGAACAGAATTCGAAAAACTAAAATCCCCATGTATGCATAAATACATTTAACATGTTTAAAATACAACAGTAGTCAGTAACGCATAATACATCTGAGCGTTACATGCTACGATTCAAGGCTAGGTCAAAGCTACGCACAGCCACGCGCGACCCGCGGCGCGGTTGTGGGACAGCCGGGTAGATTCACTCGCAGTGGCGGCGAAATTGGGGCATTTGAAAAAAAGAGTGCGCGTAAGGTTCACAGGCGATTGAAATAGAACTTTTTTGCTATTGTACGATAGCATTTAAGTTAAGAATAAATACATCATATAACAACTTTGAATAATAATTATTAGTATTATAGTACCATGTATGGAAACTCATTTATTGTCAACCATTATACATATTTATATAATAATAAATTATAAATTATATACTTATGAAAGCATTAAAAATATTTATAATATTTGAAAACAATAATGTAATTAAAGTCATACTTCAAATATGACATGATCGGTTTGTCATTGTAATTAGCATTTAGAAATGCACCTTCATTAGAGAAATAAAGTAATTGCTGATTAATAAATTCTATAATATTCGTCCATACAGTGGATTATATTAAACGACGCATACAGAAATTTTATTTTCGCACTCATCATGTAATTGTGTTTGAAAAACTTCGTGTAATTGAAATTAACATACATTCATTGACTGCCAGTATTTTTTAACTTCCCGAAGGAGAAGTTTATGTTTTCATCAAAAAATCCGAATCGCTAATTTTATGTTTTCTCGACGTTTCAAGCCATTCTGAATCGAATGAGACCAAATTTGGAAAAAGTATGTGTGTGTGTGTGTGTGTGTGTGTGTGTGTGTGAACAGATTTTTTGCCGTAAATCGACGTTTTCTCTAAAACGGCTGGACCGATTTCAAAAATTTAAAAGCCATTCGATGTATCTCGATGAGGACTATCGTTTCTAAGTTTTGTGCGGCGATCGGCCGAGCCGTTTCTTTGTAAATTGCAGAAAAATGTAAAAATTTTGGTCCACGTTTTAGCCCGCAATTCTGAATCGATTTTGAAAATTCAAAAACCGTTCGAAAGATATTGGTTGGGAATCGTGTTGATTAGTTTTTGGTAGAGATCGGCCGAGCCGTTTTCTTGTAATAAAGTTTTTAAAAAAAAAATTTCGACGATTTTTATGATTATTTTTTTGACGATAGATACCATAGTTTTCTAGGTCATACTAAAATATTACGGCCCTACGACAACTGGTTCAGCTTTAAAAATTCGTCAAAGTTTGCAAAAATCAGTATGGTCTTTTTGGCATTTGTCAAAATTAGACTTTTGATGGACGTTTTCTCAAAAACGCCTGAACCGATTTTAGAAATTTAAAAGCCATTTGATGTATTTCGGTGAGGACTATTGTTTGTCAGTTTTGTGCAACGATCTGCGAAGCCGTTTCTTTGTAATTTGAAAAAAAGTGTTAAACTTTTCGTCCACATTTAAGCTCATCCTACCGAACCGATTTTAAAAAATCAAACACTGTTCGAGAGATATTAGTTGGGAATGATACTGATTAATTTTAGGTGAAAATCTACCGAGCCGTTTTCTTGTAATTAACTGTTGAAAAAAAAAATTAAGCCGATTTTCATGGAACTTTTTTTGGCGATATACATCATAGTCTTATAGAACTTACTGTAATATTACGGCATTACAAGTAGTTTAATTTTAAAAATTCGTCAAACTTTACTAAAATTATTATCGTTTTTTTAAAGTAGGATTGATGAAGTATATTATTTACACATTTTTTTTGATTAAGTCAATTATTTACACATATCGGGAAGTTCATGTAACTTGCCTCAAGGCTAAATACCAAACCAACTAGTTTTTCATTTTTTTCCAGACAATACAATCTCATTCTTTGAGCAGCTGTAATATCTATCTTGCTTATAAAAATATTTTCCATTTTAATAACTTTAAAGATTTATATAAAATTATTTCAATAAACTTACGTTTCTTGTAAGTGTACTACACAAATGTTTAATCTGTTTTACTATTTTCATTATAATTATTTACGGAAGACAGGGTAAAATATTCTTCTGATTCAGGCATTTTTATTAAATCAAGATTTGTACTACGATGTAACCTTGAAATCTAATCACATTCCGATCTCCTTGTTGATGTACGCCGGTACGAATATAACAAAAGATCTCAATTCACTCGACACCACGACTAATCACAATCGACTCGTAGAATTTTAGATTTACACCCCGGTTACGTCTAAAAAAGTTTTACTTAAAAAAATAGATATGCAGTGTTCTAAAAATCATCATAAGAAAACTTGTAGTGCATGGCATTGTGCATTAAGGTAAATTGCTGGAGCTTTCCGCACCGTAATCAAACATTCGAAAAATAAAAATAATTAGTAGTGCATGGCCAAAAAACCATTTAAAAAATTTAAAAAATTATGAAAAAACGAGATTTTTCAAAATATTGAAAAAACTTGACTTTTTTGAAAAGTTTGATTTTATTTTATATTTCGAAATTTTTTTTACTTTAAATTTATCTGAAAATGTTGAACTTTTTTCAAAGCAATCGTGCTGCGTGGCTGTTTTAGAAAAGAAATATCGAAGTATGTAGCGCATAACAGTCTATCGGATGAACATTGGTACAGAACCCATAGAAATGTAAACAAAATTTATACTTATTATTAATATCTGTATAAAATATATGATAATTTGATGCACAAATATCATTTTTTTTTACTTTTTTTACTCCATCTCCGAAACCGCTAGACTTGCTTTCTCTAAAATTCATTCATTTCTTCATTTTCTCAATACAAGCAAGATGTTGTTTGAATTATTAAAATCGGATAAACCGTTTTTTGAAAAAATCAGTTTCTATTTTTGGCACTGCTTGCCTCGTAT